ACAATCTTTTAATTAATATGGTATGTTTAGGTGAGGGAGTTTTATTCAAGGCGAAGCTACTCCAGGAGTCCCAGTTATGATTCGAGGAGGAGCTACTCTAGAAGCCCTAGTCGCAGTCCATATAGAAGCCGTAGCCCTAGTTACAGCTATGGCTATCGTGGCCGCAGCAGAAGGTCCATTTGGTTTCTTTGTAATAATATGAAACAAGAATATGATTAATATATGTATGAAACAAGAATACGATTAATGTATTCTGCAAATTGATTGGGTTTTATTTTTTGCAGCCTTTCACCAAGGGGAAAATATTTACATCACTCTCCGCCGGTATCTGTATCATCTAGGTCTCACTCAAGGTGTGTACATCTGCCTTTACTTAGTTATCTAAATTAATATAGGAATCTAGGATAGCTGCTTTGTATAGGGCAAATTCCAAATTTCTTAAAATTTGTATTAAGTTATTTATTTATTTATTTGCCAAGGGGAATTCAAGTTCCTGTTCTTTGTATTCAGGATTTTGAAGAATATCAATTGAAAGCTTTTTTGTTTTATATATTTTAAGGTCCATGATTCCATTAAATTATTTTTCTGATTCTTAAAGTATATAGCTAAGTTCTTCAGCCAGCTATTTGCATCTAGCAACTGATATAACGGTCTCTGACTGCATCTCTCTCTTAGAAAACTCTCACGTTGTTTGGGACTCTATTATTATCTCTCCCTAGATCATTCTCTGTCTCTCTCTCTCTCTGTCTCCTTTTTTTGTGTCAAACTTTTCTTTCATGCCAAACTTCTTTTGTTTATTTTGTTTATTTGTTTCTTTGAATGGAAGTGAAAAAAGAAAGGAAGTATTTGATGCCATCAACATTTATCGGAGATAAATCCATAATCATCTTTGTGTTGCTTTCTCCTGAGACCTTAAAATTCTTGTGGATTGACATGCATTAGCATGTCATAAACTTGTGATAAAACTTATTTTCTTGTGCATAGTTTTGGAGTATGTTTCGTTCCCCTCAACTCTTAAATAACCAAGTATATCCATGAGTTTAAAATATGTATTTTGGCAAAGAAGTTTTGTTGAGCAGAGTTGCTCACTGGACTTGCTAAGTGCTAGCATGTGCTCAGAGATAGGTTGTAACCCTTCGGTAACTAGGTTATCTTCCTTTAGTAGGACTTACGTTGTAGACATCCTGATCTGCGAAGTTCCTCTAGATGACCATATTCCGAGCTTGTTTGATTCCCAAATTTTATCCTTTTCACATCTTACGTATCCAGTTTTTAGTTGGGCCTTATAATTCTTCTTTAGCGAGTATTTTTTGCACTTCCAATTCAATAATGGAATCAGACTTTTGTCAATCCTATTGACCTCATAAAGAATTGGAACTTCTTTTAGAAGAAACTATTGACTTACCTTTGGATCCCCTTGCACAATCTTTTGTTCTGGGTTTCTACTTGCGGCTTTTTTCACAAATCCTTTCATAAAAAGTCTTTTGGTACCCTTTCTTCAGATTTCTTGAAATTTCACAATTGTTTTAAGCGTTGAGGGGTTATTGAGTTAAAGGCTCGGCTGGTTGGCCATTTATCTTTCTTTTTTATGAAGGTTGCCTTCTTTGTTTGCTAGATCCAGCTCTTGCGGAGATCTGGGGACACAATGTTAGGAACCTGGTGGGATTTTGGTGCTCAATGTCTCTCAGTTGCGGTAATGCCACTTTTTAAGGGCCACCTTGGGATAAGACGTCTGTGGTGTAATACGCAAATGTTGTATGTTGATGGGTGCTAAACTGGTTCCATATACATCTAGTCCAAATACTGAGGCTGGATTGTATGAATAGTAGAAATTGTCAAGCACATCATTGTAGACATTCCAAAATGAAGATTTCCTTGCTCTAATGTGCTCCAAAGTTCAAGTGTGGATTTTGCTCATCTGCAATGTAGGAATGTGTGTTGCTCTTTGCCGTCACTTTTTGCCCCCCTGGTATTGTTGATTTGAGTCATGTTTCTACGTATGATGGAAAGAACATCACGAGTTTCAGGCGCAGGCGCCGAGAGGATGAATAGTTGTTTTTAAATTTTCAATGTGATTAACTGTGATGTGGAACATGGTATTGGGATATTGAGATGGATTGTGTGTGGAATTTTCGCAGGTCAAGGTCAAGATCTCGATCTCCAATATCATCCGTAAGATTCTTCCATTGTTTTTTTAATAAAATATTGTGTATGTCAACAGTTTTATTGTCATGCAGAATTCATGTCATTTATACTTGGCCTTTTGCATTGTTCCATGCAGCGTGCTCAGCGCCGACTGAGCCGGTCTAGGTCGAGAAGCGCATCTGTTTCCCGTTCCCCTTCTGTAAGTTCTAGCTCATGTTGCTTCCATTTTTCTTACGTGATCTTTCCGGTTTTGTACTTTGCAGGTGAGATCTGAATGAAGCCGATCCTTTGACACCAGGGACCGCTACTGAAGATCATGCTTATGTAGCGTTTTTAGATGTTTCAAGCATCAGATAGGCCCCGAGATAGGAACTTAGCTTAACTATATATTTTATCTTTGATAGGATTAATTATGGAGCGCTTTCTTTGGGAAGTGGATGATGTTTAACCACTGAACTGATGTCGTATTGCAGATCACACTCTTGAGTCCGAGTGTAATAGTTCGACTGAACTGAAGCTATGTCGTAAACTAAATTATTTACTTTAAACTTTTCAGCTATTGCTGTTATCTTGTTTTAAACTATGTTGCGTGTTTCTTCTATCTCCACTCCTCCCTAGGTGTAAATAATTATGATTTATAGGGGTAAGCCGTTTAGAAGCTGAGGGATGTTTGGAGCACCACTGGTGTCGAATGCCTTTATAAAAAGTGAGTCTTATAGTAAATAGTTTATTAGTTGTGGCACCTTAAAAGCGTTGTCAGGCTGATTGCATTGCATTCAGTGAAGTCTAACAAAGGGCCATGTTAATATCTAAAAGAGGAAATTCACAAATAAACTCCAAAGTTTTGGCGGCTAGTGTCAATTAGATCCCTGGAATTTTCATTTGAAAATAAACTCGAAATGGCTTCTTTTTCTTTTTTTTTCTTTTTATCAAAATCTCCTTGGGGCTTGAACGTTTGAAAAAAAAAAAAAGGGTTAATTTTAAATTTAACCCTCGAAGAAAGAATAAAGATTATCTTAATTTATCTCCTATGACTTAAAAATGGTATAAAACTTCCCTACGAGCTTATCATAAGTAATAACTTTGGCATTTTGAGAATCAAAGCGTCCATTTTTTAGTCATTTTGATCATTCGTCGGTTACGTGATATGATTAGTCAGTTGCAAAATAGAATTTGAAATTAAAAAAAAAAAAACTAATTGTTAATTCTTTCTCACTTTAACTTTGGTTTTGGCTCTTTTGCTCGCAATTCCTGTACCTCTTTCTCCTATATTGTCTTCTACCAATTAATCGCGCAATCCACAACAACTAAAAATTTAGCGTTGACGAGAGTTTGGTGCCATTTGAATTATAAAGAACAAAGTGAAACAATCCTTATTCTGAGGTTAAATTTAAAACTAACTTGAAAAAATTGCACATTAGTAACTCTTAAGTGGCACCATAAAAATAATTGTTACATCACAAACAGTTTAAAGTAGATTAGTTCTTTTCATAAGTACAAGTTGAGAACTTAAATTGAAAAGTAAATTCATGTAGGAAAAAATACTGTAGTAAAAAAAATAAAATAAAACTTAAACTTTTGTGAGAGGACACTTTAGTAAAAAATTTGAATTGTGAAACAATCAAGACCTAAATCACTTGCGGTGGTTATTTTCACAATTTCACCAACTACTACATTATTGTGTTTTGTTTGGTTTGATGACGAAGATGAACCATATCCTTTTCAATAAAAGGTACACTAAGCTTCAAAGAATACTAAAATTTATAATACAATAAGGGGGTTAATTGTTTAATTCTTGTTCAATTCAAAAGTTTAGGACCATAATTGACATAATCTTTAAAATGCGGAAGGACATACCTAATTTTTACTAATTAAAACCAAAGCAAGAAACGAAAGACGCCAATTTAAACATTTGTTAAAAGATGAAACGCCTTGGACATAAACCGCATTTACTCTGGTAGAGGGGAAGGTAAATATGAAGACATTAAGAAGGAAGCTTATCGGTAGGAAACCAAATACATTAGACAAAGTAGGATTTAAAAAAAAAAAAAAAAAAAAAAAAAAAAAAAAAAAAAAAAAAAAGCCAGCAATATTATTGTATTCTAGAGGCAATAATGCAAAACAAAACCAGATGGCTTCATTGCAAAAAGTCATTTCTTATATACTCAAAACAAATGGTTCACCAGGGAAACAAAAGCATTGATGAAAATGCTTTTCAAACATAAATAAATGACCCACCAGTTATACTTGTCCTGAAAAGCACTAGGTTTACTGTTAACCTAGCAGCGAGGGTCACTTGATGGATAAAATGGCCCATTCCTTGCCATCCAACATGTAATCTTATTTTATGTCCTCTAAGGCATAATACAATAAGGGGGTTAATTGTTTAATTCTTGTTCAATTCAAAAGTTTAGGACCATAATTGACATAATCTTTAAAATGCGGAAGGACATACCTAATTTTTACTAATTAAAACCAAAGCAAGAAACGAAAGACGCCAATTTAAACATTTGTTAAAAGATGAAACGCCTTGGACATAAACCGCATTTACTCTGGTAGAGGGGAAGGTAAATATGAGGACATTAAGAAGGAAGCTTATCGGTAGGAAACCAAATACATTAGACAAAGTAGGATTAAAAAAAAAAAAAAAAATCTGCCAGCAAAATTATTGTATTCTAGGGGCAATAATCAAAAACA